GAAAAAAAAAAAAAAAAAAAAAAAAAAAACAACTATTAAACAAAAATTCTGTTCCCGTGACAACACTACGGCCATACATCAATGACTGTTGTTGGGTAAGTTGTTTTATGGCGACGCATCTTATGGCAGAGGCTGACTGCAGGGATGCCAAATGAATTTAGAAAAAAAACCTGAAAATGAGTGAAGCGTCACATCTCACCTAAAACGAAACATGTAAAACCTTTAAATGAGCAAACAAAAACATTTCTCTTATCATTCTCCTTTCCTCTGCAAGTGTAGGAAAAAAAACGGAAAAAGCCGGAAAAACCAGAGATTTGGCATCCCTGTGACTGGTAAAGGTTACAGCACACACGGTTAAACTATCTAATACTTCTCGTTGAGCAAGACGTACAACTAACGTTATAATTGCTACCGCAAGCTGTACAAACGCACCTACAAACAAACAATCCTGCTACTCACGGGAGGGAAAGAGACGCAAAGTCCCGAAGAATGTTGTAACACTTTGCCGTCGCATCTCGCCGAACTTCCACTCCCGTCACAAAACGCATATCGGCGATGTTTACCACCCAGTTTCTTCCCATTTCCCCCAAAATGCCTTTGCCTTTGATGTCAAGGGTTTTTTTACTATTCGAGCCTAGTGATGGCAAAGGGTTAAACAAGTTGCCATTCGGCACTTACATGACCTTATTGCGTTGCAAGAGCCATAAAACACTTACCTAAACAAAAAAGAAATTGCCCAACATAAAGACAGCGTCTCATATCCTGGGTGAATGACAATACATGATCTTACAATAAGGGGCAGGCTTCTTATAGTGCTGGAAACAATGTTACCAGAAAATTCAGGTGATGGACCAAAAACATTGAGAGAGAGAGAGGAAATTTTGTGTTGAAACAATCCATCAAAGGTGCAATAAACGTTTGCTTGAGTTATGTAGTCGTGTTTAAAAAAAACAACCAAAACAATATTGACGGGAAATCTGGCTAAAATCCAAATCTCAATTCACAGGAGATTTAACAATAGAGCTGCAATAATACAATAGAATTCCCTTCATTCTCTCTTCTTTCTTTCTATCCTTTCTATCTCCACTCTCTCTGTGTACCTCTCACTCTGTTTGAAGCCCACAATTTCTTTTACTCCCTCTGTTTGTCTCACTCTTTCTCTTTTCGTATCTCTGTCCCTCACATTTTCTCTCTCACTCTCTCTGACTACCAGTATTCGTCCATCTCTCTCTCTCTCTCTCTCTCTCTCTCTCTTTGTCAACCCTGTCAGAACTCCATTCGTTGACACTGCACTTGTTCCATAGGCCTATACTATATATCCTTACTTGCTTTATGTTATACGCCCATGTCAAATCGCAAACTTCACAAGATAATTAATCAAACGTTTGCAATCACGGCATACATTTTTTTTTTACCTTCAATTCAATGCCAAACAACATAATTAGACAAATGTTTGCAGTCACGGTATATATATATCATGCAGCCTTCTTTCACCTTCAATACTAAACAACACAAAGAAGAACCGCTACGTTCCATAAGCCAGTGCCAGTATTGAGACAAAGATACATCTGCAGTCGAAACATCTGCCCTTTTTTTTTCTTTTCCAGCAGAGAATCAAGCACTGGTAAGCTAAATATACAGCCATACATACATACGTATAGGTAAATATATATAAATATATATATGCTAGTCATCTTGACCACAGCTCACAGGAATGTAAGGACCACTCAGTATGTTAAAGTTAGAGCATACCCTATAGCCGTTTCACTACGCACACCTGTCTGTAAGTAACAACACGATCATTATGTACAAACAAACATATCTTGATTATGGTACACAAAATAAAACTCATAAGAATCAAATACAAACCTAAACTCACACTATTCCACATCACTGGGTGTTACTTTACACTCCCAGAACAAATCTTAAATTTAAAAAAAAAAAATTAATATATTTTTTAAAAAGCAAAAACTCTAAACTTCAATAAGCAAAAACATAAACAGAAAACACAATTTTTATGAGGAAAACTTTTGTGGACTTCACATTGCAGACGTTCAAGAGGAAACTCAGTTTTCACACAAGTATCTGTCTCTACCGGTGATTTTTTAGTGCCACAGTCTAAATTCTCTTGTTCATTAGATTACTCTTAAACTTTAAGTCCCCAACCCCGAATCTAATCTGTTTATTCTATAGATTATAATATGACCCCCCCACCCCCAAATTATTTTTTCCACATGTTGTCTTGAGAGTTAAGACTTCATTTCTTAGAAATATCCGACTGCATGTTTTATGTTACTGTTGTATTGTATTATGTAAAGCGCTCAGAACCTGTGTACCTAAATCAGGGTTGTGCGCTACATAATAAATGTCATTTATTATTATTATTGTTATTATTAAGACACTTGGACGACATATCCTCACTCCTCACGGAATGTATCTTCCCGCCTTGGGGAAAGTGACAAGTAACCCCCCCCACACCCACACACACACACACCTCCCCGATTTACACAACACCACACAGAGCTACAAGTTTCATCAACAGAAAACTCCTCCGAGTCTCAGCAATGAAAGTGTGTCATCAAGACCTACGATACTCTTAAAGAGTCGCGACCTACGCACGATTCTGAAGGTGTGTCACGATCTACAACACTGTCAAAGTGTGTCAAGACCTACGACACTCTCAAAGTGTGTCAAGACATACGACACTCTCAAAGTGTGTCAAGACCTACGACACTCTCAAAGTGTGTCAAGACCTATGATACTCTGAAAGAGTCACGACCTACACACAACTCTGAAAGAGTGTCATGATCTACAACAACACTCTCAAAGTGTGTCAAGACCTATACTATGAAAGTGTGTCACGACATACGACACTCTGAAAGTAGGGTACGCCACGACCTATGAAAGAAGTCGGCCCAACTCATTGCCAGGAGAGAGGGCCAAGTAAGGACAACATCACCACAAACAGAAAACTGTGGATGAAGCAAGAAGAAGTAGCAGAAGAAGCTCCACTATCGTTCCCAGTGAGGGAGTGAGTGTAACTCTATGTTAGATGTACAGTCAAATCTCGCTGTACCATCACTAGTTGTACCACCG